CTTTGAGCCTACTTCGAAACGTTCTATGAGCGAGGTCTTGTTTCCGAATCTTGTATTTCATTTCCTTTGTTTTCCGGAAGGAAAAACAGTTTTGAAACGAATTACTGCTCTTTGAGGTTGAGGCTCTCAAAGAGAAACTTTGTAGAGAGGAGCTCACCTTGGTCCCTCTTTTGCTTTTTTATTTTCGAGGGTAATTGTAAAAATTTAATGTTGAATCCATTCAGACAAGTATGCCAACTTCTCAAACGAGGTGCTGACAAATCGTTANTGCTCTTTGAGGTTGAGGCTCTCAAAGAGAAACTTTGTAGAGAGGAGCTCACCTTGGTCTCTCTTTTGCTTTTTATACTCGAGGGTAATTGTAAAAATTTAATGTTGAATCCATTCAGACAAGTATGCCAACTTCTCAAACGAGGTGCTGACAAATCGTTAAAAAACGCTGACGGAGTGACTCCACTGGAGATAGCAGTGGAAGGCAAACATGCGGACATAGTCACGTTGTGAGTTTTCATGAATTCTTCCTACACGTTTTATTATTAGTCCCATTTTCCGAAATTAGGAAGTTATGGGTCTCATTATGAATGATGGATCATCGCAACCGTTTTTCCTTTAGAGATAATACCTTTCTTGACAGGTTCCGTGTGCACTCCATGCGAGACGAGTTCAACGAGGAGTTCAACAATCCCATGGATGATACCGTCGACAGCGTGATTTCTGACATCACTCGTAAAGCCGCCGTTAGCAAAAGCTCATCCGGCTGATAGGCAGGCAGATTAAGCGGCTATATTGAATTCGGCGGAGTAACCTTCTTTCAGATTTAGCTCTTAGGTAGGTGTGTAGGTTTTCAAAATCGCAACTCTTTTGTTCCTATATCTAGACTCTTCTACTTTACCTTGTTGAGCCACAAGTGTGGTGCTTCCGAGCAATTGTTAGTCCTTTTAGGCATAATCCCCATTTCATGGTTAGCCCCTGGGCTACCATTTTCGAATGTAACTTGATCGAGTTCTCAACTGGTACCCTTGTTTCACATTGCCAACATACTTTGAGCATAATGTTGTAATGTACCATATGGATCGTGTTTTCACTAGAAGTATTGCTAAGTTTAATAGAAATATATTTAAAAGTGAGTGTAATATTGTTGTGTCGATTCATTTGTTCTGAAAATCTGCTTTGTCTGTCCTTTCTGTCGGGATCAAATCTTTCTTGTCGCTAGCGTAAGTGTGACGGTAGCTGATTCTGAGGGATTATTGCTAAATGCTGGTCCGTGGTAGTTGGGTGCACCGCGTTTACTTCTCATCTACTCCGTTCTGGGGCACCCTTTACGGTAGCAGGATATGGGTAATAGGGCTCAAAATTTAAAAAGAACTATGTGATTTTCTCGGGAAGAAGAAAGCCAGGAAAAGTTGAACTCATCAAAGTCGAAGCTCGCTTTTGACTTCGGGCTTACGGTAGAAATGTGAAAGAAGCTGAAATTTCATCTTATTTAACTCATGTAACGATTTTACATGTGCTGTTTTCTGGGGGTACTTCAGATCATCTGACCTGAGCTTATAATGGCTGACTACAAACTTTTATTGGTAGAAACGAACACATGGGTAGAAGTGGGTAGTGTGGGCGGGTACCATGAAGCAAATAATATGTTTCGCGTTCCACCTACTCAACTTCAAAAGGCGTAGATGCTCAGTTTCTTGTTTGGTTGCGAGCTGTTCGATTTCATTCTCGAAATACGAATTTATTCCTCCCAAATATCACGAAATGCGCCATTAATTTTCCCTCAATGACGGCAGGATATCGATTCCAGCCAGTTATTTCGGGATACCTTCGGCAACCACCCGACACCGCTTTCATTAATAGTTTACTCAGAATTATCTACATGATGTCACATAACGTATAGCAATTATGCGGGCCATTTTGCATAGAAATCTTGCCTTCCATCATTCATCGTATTTTGATATTTTCTGTGATACTTTATGATGCTGCTCCTGTCACACTGCTAATCTCTCTGATGGATGATTATTGCATAATACGTGATGGGGACGGTTCAGAGTCCTCGAATATGGATGTATATAGTGTGTTTCGAAGTAAAGCATTACTATTCAGCCGTGGTTGTAAAAGAATTTGAAGAGAACTTCGTATCTCTTTCTACATCAGTGCATGATTCATGGCGACTAAGCAGGTTTGGTCGTTGGTCACCTTGTGACTCACGGGTTCTATCGTCGTGTTGTTGGCGACGGTGTGGGGGGTTGCTGTATAAATAGAAAGCTAGATATAACGGGCCAATTGTTTATCGTTGATCATATGTCGTGCTCCATCATTCATCATGCAACTTCTATGACTGGTTAAATAGGGTGATCTCCCAATAGGTGGGGTGGGTAGTTGGTTATTACCTGTTACAGCTTCGTTATTACGGTGTAATGCTCATCAAATACGATACCGATTTTTTTTATCCCGAAGGTTCTTATTGCAATTAAAAGACTATTCATCTCGTTCCCTATGAATAAGGGACTTCTCTTGAGGTGCATTTTAACTGTAATACCTATTATAGGTAGGGATAATACGGTATTGAAATATTCATCTACCTATGTGTTCTTCACCTTATTTATTTGCAATTTGTTTGTTTTTGAAACAATATATCGCTTCCTATGAATGACGAGCTTTGTAGGAAAACTCTAAATATGATAGTCATTATGTTATTCTCCCATGGCGTTACATATAGTTATTTCGGTCCTATGGACAGAAGTGATTGGTATCAGCTGGGCTACGCTGGCAAACACGGAAAGTTCAAGGAACCTCTAAATACCGATTGTGATCCTGATGTTTTTTTCGTCATCACACGGGTCTACGTTTTGAGACAAATCCCTTTTTGGTCGATGGGGGAGAGTTGTTTTCCTTGGGGCTCCGTTCGCTGCTAGTATTCGTAGTGCCAAATATAGTCTCGTATAAACATTTTGTCGCTGCTGTTTAACAGCGTTTTGCCCTTCTTATTTTGTAGGACATACACCATGTCTTATACATATATTGCCAACAGATTGCTATAATATTATCAAATTCTATAAACAGTTGCAGAATCTGATTATTTTTCCGGACTTTCTATTTGGGCAACTATATTTATACAGGGAAGGTACCGTTTCCTAGTGTTCATGATGGATTGGGACAATGAACTAAGCATGTACATTCCCTACATAAATCATTTCTGTAGTCCTTTTTAACGTAGCGAGGAATTTATTGGAGAGATTTCAACGTCCCGTGCACGTGTGATTCAGCATCCCCCTGTTGGCCCATCACCCACCCAGTGGGGTACCTTTTTGTTGTGTTGTGTGTCTTCTGGTTACTGTGTAACACATTCATGGGACGATGAAATCCGCCTTGTAGTAATTTCAGTGCATAGTTAGCATTATATGATGGTCCTAGAATCCAACGTAACCGAAGCTCTTATTTTTGACTAAAAAGGCTCTGGTAGGACTATTGTGCTGAACTTGAATACCACCAATCCATAGTCCTTTTCGAGTCTTGTATTTTCGGATAGCAAATCGTTGTGGTTGAGTTAGGGGTCACTGACGTTTTGGCGATGCTATTTCGCCAAAACTTCAGATTTCTGTGCTTCCTCGGGGACCAATGATTATCATGTTTTCTTCGGCTACATCTCGACAACCCTCATAAATCACAGAAGAGTCTCTCAACGCTTGTTGATTGATTCTCATCAAGAGAACAACCATATTACGAGGATTCGACCTACTCGACAACAACAATGCTTTAGACTGATAGGAACTTAGTACAATTACTAATTTCTGATCAAAGACCCGACGGAATCACTCGATGTAGTGAAATATTGTAAGGAATTTAGCATTCAAAATTTCCCTTTTGATTATTTCGAAAGCCCTTTGGGGCCCACCATCACAGCCTTTGAAGCAGAATTTCGCGATATCACTGATGGATTCCATAGTTAACGAAACCGAAGTATTAGTACGAAGTGCCCTTCATCTTTTGCGATTAGTAGCATTTCTGTGCTGCCTAACCGATGAGGAAACGTTGAAGCTAAAAAGGAACATTACCCATTGATCGAGATATTTCGTCTTTAAACTCGTTACGATGGGGTGAAGAAAATGGCCAGAATCCGTAGAATTTTCGGGCCAACCACGCACATCATGCATATTTCATAGAGGATAGGAAATCTTTCGTGTCCCCATCGATCCCGTTTTATTGATGCCACGACTTACGCAAAGAATCGTAGTGGACTATTGAATGCGTCTATGGCCCAAACAGGCCAGCCATCTGACAAGTCAGTTCTTTTATCTTTCCAGGCAACCCTTACCCTCTTAACTGGTTCCGGAGGGTTGGAAGGCTCGGTTGACCTGGGCAGGAATCGAACTGAGGTTCGCCCCGCGTGGTGGAGTGGCACTTCTCGCTACACCACCTCCGCCACATAGTTCAAAACTTCTGTCATTTTGTGTTTCCAAAACATCTGCTATGATGTGTTTTCGCTATTTTTTCTATCGTTCTCACGATTTCACCATATATCACTGTTTTGAAGTATAAGGAAAACACTGATTTCGAAGCAGCATTTTTTATAGTGAAATTGTCCCCTGATTTTGGAGAAAACTACTTTTTGTAAACTTTTTCATCACTATTAGGGCACTATTCGTCCTTCTTGCAACTGTAATATCAGACCACACAAGAAGTTCTTAGAAAGGAGTGGTGTCTTCAGAATTCTTCAACAGTTTAGGAAGAAAGTAGCCGAGACGGAGGTCTCTCTTGTTAGCACGACTAGCAAAAGTATGATGTACCAAAAAACCATTGAAGAAACGAATGGTGACGCTGAATTGTATGCCAATGCTAAAGAACTGGGAAACATCAAATCGAAATTTTAACTCTTCCCTTACCTCTCATTTCAATCTCTGCGCGAATCGGGGAGTCAGTATCCTTTACGATACGACACACACGGTGGTAGCACCCCGAAAGGCATTTGGCACGCCCTCAGTAAAAGTCTCTAGCGGCAGCGTGCGTTTTGTATGAACAAACCTCGAGTCTTTTTGCACTGTCTCTGAGCCATCTTGCTGCCCACCAACGCCAACCCCTCTGGAGCATTCTTCTCAGCGTCTTTTACAGAACCAGCCTCATCACCAAATTGCGGCCATAATTCGATGTCCAAAGGGTGAACTAAAGTTCTTCGGTGTCAACCGTTCCAGATGTGCCTACACTCCGTTCCATTCAAGACTGGAGTAGCTGTGATTGCGTGAGTGACCTATAAAATACCATGGTGGACAAGCAAATGCGCAAGTCAGTTGCTCCCAGGCGAGAGCAGAACCAATCGACTCGGATTATATCAAAGTCTCTGCATGGCGAGTACCGAGACATAGAATACATGACTAGTGCGCCTCTCAGGAATACCTCTCCTCTATCCAGCAATGCATTACCGACAGCTTATTGTTAGAAAAATAGGTGGTGTAAGTGTAGGTGTTAGAGAATTGAAAATGAGTCAGGTAATCACTAAAAACTGGCAATCGCACTGGGCGGTTTAGACTTTCCGACATCAAACGCGCGACGCGTCAAAACTCATGGCGCGGTTGGTCGATGTAACAGCATTCAATAACTGATATCAAGCTGGAATGTGCTCGAAACAATCTAACTTTCCTAATCGTATTTCCGTTTATTGGTTCCCATTACTCTGATTGCTTGGTAATTAGGCGGTTTCATGTTTCGTGTAATGTGCTCAAATAATTTGATACGATGGGACTAACAAGTTCCCTTCTAATGAAGTTATGCACGACAAAAAAAACATGCTCTACTCAGTTACAATGTAATAGTGGTTAATAAGCGATAATACTAAGGCTAACGAGGTTTGAGCTCCCTGAAGCGCTCAGGTCCAGTTTGTCGAATTGTGTGATAGCATCAGCCGTATCTCTTAAACCCCGCTACCCGGCTATCAGTTTTTGGACGTCTTTCATCGGACACGACAGAAAGAGATGTCGTGCAACTGGAAATCTGTATGAAATCGCTGGCTAACATGTCCCATTCTGTGGGATGTAAACGTTACCTTAACGAAAGCGATTAGCGAAACCACGATAAGGGGGGAGGGGGATGGGCTTTGGTTCGATTTCTCAATATAGACTAGAATGATAAAATTGTCTTAAGCAAAGTTTATTTGTGGCTCAGCCTCTGGATGCTTTTGAAATAGCTATGACCCTACATAACACCCTACCTAACGGGAGGGTCTTTTGAGTAGGCGTAGGGGAGGAATTTCTGATTCTTTCATGCGATTGCACAACAGAATTTAAATTTTTTCTCACTAATGGAGATATTTATGTTCCGTTCCTTACCCACCATCTGCGATTTACGACGCCAAGGAACACTCGTCGACTGACAGCTGATCAGCCACATTTTTCAAACTTTCAGATAAAAATAGCTACAATGAGTCAACCTCAGGCTCACCCTAACCGATCCAACTCCCCGCCCTCTCCCAACAGGCTGTAACACTGAGACGTATACACATATTCCTGTTATTCCCGCTGAAGGCATCAGTCCCAAAATTAATTTGTTATACTATTCTTAAAGGCGCATTCCGCCTCAGAGAGATGTGGGAAGTGGGATTCAAAAATTAAAACAAGCTATTGACTTTCGTAAATGATAGCTTCTCAGTTAGGTAATCGTATATAGCGTGGCAAAATATATTTGGCATACCCGTGTGCCAAAGTTGCGACTTGGTCCAGTGACTCCTTCTCGGATGAGGCACCATGGCCAACCGGTGCGGGTACTGGTTATCTGGATTCCTCTTCTTCAAGGCTGTTAGTTCAGCGTGTGTGGTCCTATCTTCGTACAT